CATGCTTGATTGCACCTCAAAAGTTGTGACACTGAAGGCTAGAACTGTTGGAATATTGCTCGACATAAGGGGGACGTTGACTATCGTAAAGTTGGTGCAGTTCCTGCTTTACCTGTGTCCTGGTCACTTGATAACCCCATAAGGTCATTAACCCTGTGCGTATGTAAGTTACATGAATGCTATTTTATATTTCTAACAACACGTCTGTATCTATTTGTGAACACGAACAGAATACATTCTACACACAAACTGAAACCTGTGAGAAACAATGACATGGTGCAAACATTTACCAAGAACGTATAAACCACATGCATCACACATCAGTCATTTGTTAGACTGGATGTAAAAGTGTCTCGTCATCCTATAGTATAGTATACACGCCTCCCCTATATAAACACTCTTTAATTCGCATGGCGCCCCCTCATCCCATAGTAGACAGGTCTCATCTTTTAATACATACGTCCTCGGGGGGTAAAGACATCTCTGATCACATATAGCCTTCCTCACACACAATGTAGTCCGAAAAGTAAAGTAAATTAAGCATATGGTGTATTCAGGAAATGCGTTCTCAGAGAAATCCAGTATTGATCAGAGTGAGTGAGTGAGTATGGTTTTACGCCGCTTTTAGCAATATTCCAGCAATATCACGGCAGGGGACACCAGAAATGGGCTTCACACATTATATCCATGTCGGGAATCGAACCAGGGTCTTCGGCGTGACGAGCGAACGCTTTAACCACTAGGCTTCTCAACCGCCCCCCGGCCCTATAGTTACGGTGATAAGATAAAACCTTTCCATTAGCGTAAGCAATAACTGATAAAGTCAAGTGAACGATACCGACTCTATCACAAGCATGTACTTGGATTACTACGAATCAGTGACGATTCAAGGTGTTTGCAAAACGATGAGCGTATCTGCCCCACAAGTGGCACACATGCGTCAAACAATGTTAATGTACATGCACAATGTACGTTATAAGTATTGTTTTATGTATATAAAATGGAACATGTCAACATAGGGGTATTCCGTACATAACGTTGGACACTGATGCGTCAAACCTGGAAAAAAGGTCCTCCACATGTGAACCATAAAACGTTTAGGGCTTTGAATGCCATTGATTAAACATTTTGTGGTCTAGAGCTGCACAACACTATTTTAAATCGATTTCCTCTCAAAAGTCGCGTGCAGTTCCTGCTTTACCTGTGTCCTGGTCACGTGATACAACCCCATAAGGTCATTAATCCTGTCCGTATGTAAGTTACATGAATGCTATTTTATATTTCTAACAACACGTCTGTATCTACTTGTTAACATGAACAGATGACATCCTACATACAACCTGAAACCTGTGAGAAACAATGACATGGTGTAAGCATTTACCAAGAACGTATAAATCACTGCACCGAAGACATGCATCATACATCAGTCATTTGTTGGACTGGATGTAAAAGTATCTGTCAAAAGAACACACTCATCATCCTATAGTATACACGCCTCCCCTATAGACACACTCTTTAAATCGCATGGCGCCCCCTCATCCCATAGTGGACACGTCTCATCTGTAAATACGTACGTCTCTTCCTTTAGTACACAGGTATTGTCCTCTTGTACACACTTCTGATCTCACGCCTCACCCTTATGTAACAATCGGGACAGCTTATAGAACACACACCTCACCCTATCTAATCCTATAGTAGACATGTCTCAATGCATTGAAACAATCTAAACCTATAGTACAGTCGACGTATCATGTAGTGCTTTCCTTTCACACTTTTGAACACACGTTTTATCCCACAGTCCAGTCAGCCCATCCTTTAGTCGACACGCCTTATCATATAATATTCCACACTCACCCTATTGAAACAACTGTCTCAACCTAAAGTACTGACATGTCTTCCTGTACTATACGCATCACATCCTCACATCCACGTATACAAACCCCCATTCCTATATTACAAACGTCCCATCCTACAGTACACAAGTCTCATCCAAAAGTATAAACGTCTCAAGTTATAGTACACACATCTCATCCTGTAGCACACACATCTCATCCTATAATATACACGTCTCATCCTATAGTACACACGTCTCATCCTATAGTGCACACGTCTCACCCTGTAGTACACACGTCTCATCCTATAGTGCACACGTCTCATCCTATAATATACACGTATCATCCTGTAGTACACACGTCTCATCCTTTAGTTCATACGTCACATCCTATAATAGACACGTCTCATTTTATAATAGACACGTCTCATCCTATAATATACACGTATCATCCTGTAGTACACACGTATCATCCTGTAGTACACACGTCTCATCCTTTAGTTCATACGTCACATCCTATAATAGACACGTCTCATTTTATAATAGACACGTCTCATCCTGTAGTACAAACGTCTCATCATGTATTACACACGTCTCATCATGTAGTACACGCATTTCATCCTGTAGAACATGCTGTAGTACACACGTCTCATCCTATAATATACAAGTCGCATCCTGTAGTACACACGTCTCATCCTGTAGTACACACGTCTCATCCTGTAGTACACGAGTCTCATGCTGAAATATACACATAGGGTACACCCGTCTCATCCTTCATTGCACACGTCTCATCCTGTAGTACACAAGTCACATCCTCTGGCACACACGTCTCAACCTCTAGTACACACGTCTCAACCTCTAGTACACACATCTCATCCTGTAGTACACACGTCTCATCCACCATTGCACACGTCGGACTATCCTATAATACACACATCTCATCCTGTAGCCCACACGTCTCATCCTCCATTGCACACGTCTCTTCCTAAAATACACACGTCTCATCCTATAATACCCATGTCTCTTCGTATAATACACACGTCTCACCCTACAGTATACACATTTCATCCCTTAGTCCACACGTCTCACCCTCCAGTCCACACGTCTCATTATGTAATAAACACGTCTCGTGCTATGGTATATACGTCTCATACTAGAGTACGCATGCATCATCCTAAAATTTGCACATCTCATCCTAAAGAACACACGTATAATTCTCCAGTACACACGTCTCATCCTATAGAACACACGTCTCATCCTGAGGTACATACGTCTCATCCTATAGTACACACGTCTCATCCTGTGGTACATATGTCTCATCCTATAGTACACACGTCTTACCCTAGAGCACACACGTATCATCCTCTATTACACTCGTCTCATCCTATTAAAGACACGTCTCATATAATAAACACGTCTCATCCTACAGTATACACATTTCATCCTTTAGTCCACACGTCTCATCCTTTAGTACACACGTCTCCTCCTATTATAGAGACGTCTCATATGTAATAAACACGTCTCATGCTATGGTACACATGTATCATCCTAAAATTGGCACATTTCATCCTAAAGAACACACGTATCATTCTCCAGTACACACTTCTCATTCTATACTGTACTACATAACTACTGCACAAGTATCTTCCTATAGTACACACGTCTCATTCTGAAGTATACAAACTTGATCCAATAATAGACACATCCAATCATAGAGTACGGCCGTCCTATCTCATAATAGACACATCTCAACATATGGTATCAAGTCACATATTGTAATAGAGAAATATGTTCCTCTAGTACAGGATTCTCATCCTACAGTCCACACGTCTCATCCTATATACAGACGTATCACCCTACAGTACATACATATCATCCAATAATTCACGTCTCATCCAGTAGTTCAAACGTCTCATCTTGTAGTACACACGTCTCATCCTACAATACACACGTCTCATCCAGTAGTTCACACGTCTCATCCAGTAGTTCACACGTATCATCCTACAGTGCACACGTCTCATCCTTTAATACACACGTCTCATCCTGTAGTTCACACGTCTCATCCAGTAGTTCACACGTCTCATTCTACAGTGCACACGTATCTTCTTACAGTGCACACGTCTCATCCTGTAGTTCACACTTCTCATCCTGTAGAGCACACGTCTCATCTTGTAGTACACACGTCTCATCCTGTAGTTCACACGTCTCATCCTACACTGCACACGTCTCATCCTACAGTGCACACTTCTCATCCTACAGTTCACACGTCTCATCCTGTAGATCACACGTCTCATTTTGTAGTACACACGCTTCATCCTACAATAGACATGTCTTATTCTATAGTACACACGTTTCATTCTATAATATACAGCTCTCTTGCTAAAGTATAGACGTTTCATACATTAGTAAACACGCCTCATTCTGTAGTACACACGTCTCATCCCATAGTAGAGACGTCTCATCCTAAAATATGCAGGTCTCTTTCTATAGTATACACGTTTCAATTAGCACATACGTCTCATCCTACAGTGCACACGTCTCACCCTGTGTTTTACACGTATCATCCTATGGTACACACGCCTCACCCTGTCTTTCACATGTATCATTCCATGGTACACACACCTCACCCTGTGTTTCACATGTATCATCCTATGGTACACACGTCTCATCCTGTGTTTCACATGTATCATCCTATGGTACACACGTCTCACCCTGTGTTTCACATGTATCACCCTATGGTACACACGCCTCACTCTGTGTTTCACATGTATCATCCTATGGTACACACGTCTCATCCTATCATATTCACGTCCCATCCTATAATACTAACGTCGCATCCTATAATAGTCACGTCTCATCTTTTAATAAACAAGTATAATCCTTTAGTACTCACGTTTATCCTATAATAGTCACGTCTCATCCTACGATTATCCAGGGATTGATATCTTCTGCAACCAAGCCAGCGTACCTGTCCACCTGATCTCTTTGGTAGCCGCTTTCGACCAGCAGAGTTTGTTGGGGACATTTTCTAACACAGTATCCTCCTTGATTCGCCTTTACAACTTACGGCAGTAATTCAGTTCATAAAGATTGTATTTTCTATGAAGCCTACATCGACAGATAAATAAATGGTAAATAAATAATAAATGTCAAGGAGAAAATAGTTTACCTTATGGACTCCACTTCGAGCTTGTTAACTGTCAGAGGCTGACCAACGTGGCCTTCACCACCGACACATGGGCTGCACATGTCATGATCATCCCATTCAAAAAGGTTTATGTTTCCTTCTTAATAGGAAGCAGGACATACATAGCTTCATTTTACTGTATAACGACTGAGAGGTAATACATTCAATTAAATTGGAATTTAACTGTAACTTTTATGGATATTCTCGTTTGAAAGGCGAAATAGTCAAGGAAAATACATTGCCTCGATTCAGTTTCACATTAAATGCGTTTGAAGCTAGCTGGACTCTTGGTAGATTGGTAATCTTCAGATGGATAAACATGTGTCTCTAAGATTAGAGTACATGTGTGTACAACTGCCTATGCAGCTGGTTATATGTAGTTTCCACATATCGTGGTCATAACGCTCAAATAGCCCTCATCGGCGATATGGGGGCACGGGTGGCCCAGTCGTCTAAGGCGCCTCGCCTCGACTCGCTGTGCAGAGTTGCGTCCCTTGGGCACGCCAGAAACCAGATTATGTTTCTAGGTTTGCTAGCCCCATACCCGTGCTCGTGGGTTTCACCGAAGTGGTATACGTCTGAGACCTGTCATCACTGCGGGCTTTCCTCCCACATTGAGCTGACACGCCGCGATATAACTGGAATACTGTTAAAAGCGGCGTTAACCCAACTCACTCACCCACTTATCGGCGATATATATGTGGCCCATCACATAGTCAACATGTCCAGCAGACCTTAGATGGGTATAGCAAAGTTGTGTACGTAGTTTACATCTGTGTACACCCTACCAACAGCTAGGTAACAATTGGTATGTACATAATGATACCTCTCGCCCCAGGTCTACGTTAGCCCCAGCGCTCAAATGAAGCGCTTTTAAGCAGTTCTTTGAACTGGATACCAGCGCTATATAAATCTGTAGTTATTCTCTTTCACACATATCTACCCAGCATTTGTATAACAATAAATATGCCATATGTCGTTGAACTATCGTGATGTATTCATGAATTTATGGATGTTTTGGCTAGTGTTTGCCCAAGGTAATAATGCGAATGAGAGTGATGCCTCAATTGAAGGATCAGTGATTGAAGTTACTTACAAATATTTATATAATGAATTTAATTACATTGTAGTCTGTAAATCATCAATTTCGCACCCGTTTTTCACAATAATTTCCACCCAAGCGGGTTTTGAGATATGTCATTCCATCTGTCGGATTTGACACAGGCATTTAACACAGCTTGTGACAAGCATGGGTGACACATTAAGCCATTGCTGTGATGTATTAAACCCCCACTTCTTACCCCTACTATACTATAGTAGTCACAAAATTACCTGAACACAATGGAGAAATAGTTTTTTTCGAACATGAAACATTATAAAAAAGACGTTTTTAGTTAGGTAACTGGATATTATCCGATTGCGTGTAAAAATAATTGTGAAAATACAGGTGTCAATATGATTGTTGGCAGTCAAGAACATACTTTATCTGACGCACAGTTGAAAATGATATTCTCAGTTAATGTTCCGACTGTTACTATTTACATTCGGACAATGTAAACTGAAGCTAATGTCGCTTGTCAATGTAATAACATCACGGATTTTCTTAATATATATCAAAGAAAATGAAGCACAAAATCAGTTAATAACATCACTACCGAGCTATCATGTGATCTGGTTTTAAAGTTTCCTTTAAGGTGAAGCTGCATGATTTTCGTGTACCTTTATGACGCCTGTGCGATCATTTGTTTCATGAAAGGGTGGCGTCACCAAGACACAGTCAATAGTCAGCGAATAGTCAAGAAAGAGCATGCACAACTAAAGTGTTCCAATTGACAGCCCTGATAGCATCTCCAATTGTCACACTTGGTGTCTCTATGCACCCTTATAAAAAGAGAGAAATGAATAATACAGAACAAGTGACACTTAATGAGTAGTTATCTACAGCTCCCATACTCTCTCCTTCGTCAAAATGAGGGCAGGTTGAAAGTGTGTAAACTTTAAATGAATACACTTGGATTTGCAAAATGTACTCATAAATGATGCCTTATGTTCTGCCTATTTTCTTTAAAATGTCCATAAGAAGTGTCTGGTAAAATGAAAAGATATGTCACACTTGACAGTAAATAGTTAAACCATGGGATCATTTCGCGCTCACACATGCGACAGCACGTACGCATGCAGCCACACATACGGACTTGTGAAAGAATATTACCATTTTTTCTTTTGCTTTACTATTCCCTAAACTTCTTCCAAAATTGATCTGACAAGTGGTAACACAGCTAAAGTAGATTGTACGCTCGCTGCCATCACGGGAATGTTAAAAGTTATCACTTGACAACATATATGTAGGTATTACACAGGATATTGCAACATCTTCTCTCGGGGAGAATATCACATTCATGGTTATCGACCTCAGTGATTTGACTAAATACACATTACCAAGGGACTCATGCCGTTGTTTTGGAGATATAGATTGCCACTGCCCAGAACGATGGGCATCCAAGAACTGAGGGGTTGTGGTGGGTGAGTGGACAGCTCAGATATACTATTCTAATTTGAAGTGAACACTATACAGCTTTTCCATAGGTAGAGAGGCCGGAACCTCACTGTCAATAGTGTATGAGCGACACAATTTGACGTTCATACGTTTTTGCACGTGACTGTATTCTTGAAATGATGTAAACACTGACGGACTACTTCCACATTCATAGGGAAATCCCAGGGATTTCCCTTGCACGAATACATACAAAAGCTTTTCTTTCGAATCATTTAGACCTATTTATCTTGAACTCAGCCTTTTAACATACATTGAGAAACGTCAGAACGTTTGACTGCATTATCATTTACCAATACCCTTGCTTTGGCTCATCCGATGTAACAAAATGTATTAATGCACATCGACCAGGCTATTGTAGTATCGATTCGATCCGGGTCTAGACTGTTATATACAGTCTACAGCCACAGATTCATTGACAGCTTCGAAAATCTCCTGTGCTGGCCATTTTGAGGTACTGTACTTGATGTAAATGTAAGACGCGCTGTTATTGTGACTTCCTCACTGATGTAGTTCTTAACAGACATTTCTCACCTAATGATGATATTATTTGAATACATTCATTTCAAACAATCTACAACCGATGTTCCTTTTGAGCAAGTTGAGCATACATACGTTCATGAATAAAATTTATCTTTGTGTGTTAATCTGAGAATGAACCTTCAAACCAGGACCAAACTGTATGAACGTCAGAGCTTGTAATTCCCAAACACTCATCACCCGTGTAAGATACACCACCAAATTCTTCCCGAGCCTCCCCCCAAAGGGACAGTTGATGTTCCTGGGTCAATAGTTCAGATTACTTTACCTCCAAACCCTCCTTCGTCAATCCATGACATGGAGCAGGATCCTGCTTTCGTCTGACCAACTGACTTTCAGCAAGGTTCTCAGATCGCATGTTTGTCATCCTAAACTCCATGTAGTACTAAACCTCTGAAGGCTTCCATCGCAGCTTTTGTTCCGGCCATGGTTTCTCCCCATTCGGTTGACTGCTGTGTAATAGTTGCCAAGTTGACGACTGATAGACTGGAATGGAACCCTGTGGAATGCATTCTGATTGTTTCGTTGCGCCTCTGATTTCCTCTTCCAACCGCGATCAAAAGGAATGATTAAAACAGTGCAAAGCAACGATCCTAAATACCTAATTTCTATGCCAGGGCCTACATTTTCGAAACAATCTTAGCCCTAAAATTATCGCTAGGAAAGCGTAAACTATTGTGGCCTATTTTCGAAAGGTTTATCGTTAGGTATATGTGAATGATATAGACTTAATCACACAGGCTCCGAGACACTGATCCTAAAGCACTGTCATACCACTCCAGTGCACAAGACGACGCTCCCAGTCAGGGACGAGATTCGATCTTTTGATAATGTCGATAATACAGCGTTCAGTCCACCGGGTCTTCTTTTGTACATATGTAAATTAATGAGATTGTTAAGCATGAGTTAGCGAGTTTTATTCACATATTGCTTATGGAAGGTAGCGTCACTAATAAAACAACAAATAAATAGATAGTGAGTTGTCAAATGCCAAGAGTACTTTGCTACAAGCTATGACTATCGATAGATCTGTGATCGTACATATCTATTAATCTGTATTACTGACATGAGTTCTCCTCTGCAAGTGACTGTGTGGTGTCCCTTTTCGAAGCAAGACATGTTGGCGACAGCAGAGGGTGTGTGGACCTTATTCTGTGCATAACAAGTGTATTTATTTCTGTAAGTGTGTATTTATAGCTTACCGTGAGTGGTTAATGTGTTGCTGTCTGATGCTGAAGTTTGGAGCCCATTCTTATCATTGAGGCTTGAACATTGACAAACGCTAATGTACGTTTTCTATTTCCACTTGCAACCTATGTTGTTGGGTCAAATTATATCCAGGTGCAAATGTAGTTACTTAGATCTATTTTACAAACCAAATCATGCCATCAATAAACACTTACGAATATAATTGTTTAGTCATATTGTTCGTTTTAGTGCAAGGCATATATAGGTATGTGGCTATGCGCTCCTCAGTGACGTGTATTTGTACTGGGTTACAAGCTCCATAAAACACATACCGCACTGAGATACCATGCCACAGTTTTACACAAATACCCAACTCAGAAGCCATTACTGTTCCACATCAACAAACAAGGCCGTAGCAAACCTTTCTTGAAACATAGAGTACAACAATTATTGTAACTGTATGACATTGCTCCTCTTGAGATTCGGTAGGAGTCCATTGCATTGTATTTGGACATAAACTAGTTGTCAGGAATGTAGTGTTATTTTATGTAAGCAGTGGCGAAGATGTTACTACATTTAATTCCTCTTGTGATGCGTAAATTTCGGACACTGTGTTGAAAGTTCTGAAAGGTGTTGGGCTTTATTAGAGGAAGAGGGCGTGGGTAGATCATCTCTCACACATTTCGTCATACATTTTTTTTTTTACCTAAGAATACATCAAGGCCAGCTTTCATGTGAAGATCACTCTGGATTTCTGGCCATAGGTCTTTCTCGGAAGCTTGACAGCTGTCCCTGCTTGGTGAATACATTATTATCACTGACTTTTTCTATTGCCACTATTTACATATTTCACACTGAACACTGCCATCATATTATTTATTGCTAAAACAAGGACTGGTCGCTTTGAGTCAGCATACTGTATCTGAGTGGGCAATTCATGTTAAGCTGATCAGGCAATGTAATATATATATAGTCATACAAAACTTAACATTTGAATGTTTCACTAAAAATCTTGTTTTCCTTCTGTCACAAAAAAGTGGTAGTATTTAATATGTTGTCATTTAGGATACATACATGAATGTAGGATTGGCAGATTGATTTGCAGAGGATTAAGCATCACAACAAATACTGTTCCCAACATTTGTATGTCTTACTTTATTTGACTCACATAGTGTCGAAAGCAGCGTAGATACTCTCCACTCGCTCCAGTTTGGATCAGATATGGACAGTATAGTCATCACATGACATATCTAAACATGATGTGTAACTACTACATCATTCTAGCTGTTGACATGAGGATTCAGACAAATATTACCGTGCAATTATGCTGGTTCTGTAATATTCATGACCTAATTTTCCTTCCGTATATACGTCGTCCTCTTTATCACTTTGCTACTTCCTGCCTGATAGTATTATACACTCATTATCTTCCTCACACACAGTTTTCGTTATATTTTGAACATTGTTTTTTTCTGCATATCCAAGATTAATACGTTCCTGTCATTTATAGAAAATGTGATTCTGGGAAAAGTTTGATCACTATTTCATTTATAAACATCACGATAAAGTAGGAATCGAGAAATCGACTCTGCTTTTAGCAGATCTTTGTTATGAACATGGAAAGGGGCATTTTGTTTATTATTACAGTGATGATAACTCAGAGGTATTGTGCACATTTAAGTGTTAACGTGTTGGCTTTCATCACCTCTGTGTCTAAATACAAATACGTCCCACAGAGGTTATAACATCTGAGAAGGAAATATATACACAGTAAAAAAAGTGTTGCACCCCCACATTAATACGTTTGATACATCACAACATTTAAAACGCCCGACTCTGGTTTTAATGGTAGGTATTCCTTGGGGATCTGATGTTAAATGTGTAATGTTTTCGGAGGGAAGATGATCACCAAAACATAGCAATCAGCACGTGAATTGCATGGTGCATGACATTTGCAGATTGCAGTATCTTCTTAAGCTCAACATCGCCTATAAAAAATGTTCTCTGACAGCCCAGTTTATTGTAACCCACAATGCCGGGTAGACGATTGTCAGAAGCAGTCAAGTGGCAGATTATTGGCCTTCATGGAGCAGGTCTTTCGTTCAAGGAGATTGGCAGAAGAACCGGACATCACTACTCAACAATAAGCCGTTTGGTCAGAAAACACGCACAAACTAATGATGTAAGGAATCGCAGACCCTCTGGCAGACCACGTAAGACCACAGTTAGAGATGACAGAGCGTTGTTGAGGGTGGTAAGGCGTCATCCATTTGCTACAAGCACAACCTTGAAACGTCTTTGGCTTCCTCGTCAACAGTTCAGTACCCAGACCGTGAGAAATCGTCTTAAAGCTGCAGGGTTGAAGTCCAGAAGGGTTATCAAGCGACCTAAACTCACAGACAACCACAAACGACTACGTCTAGCCTGGTGTAGACTGAGACAGAACTGGAACTTGAGGTCCTGGAGAAGAGTCCACTGGTCGGACGAAAGCAGGTTCCTTCTGCATGTTGTGGATGGCAGAGTGAGAGTATGGAGGCGTCCTGGAACAGCTTATACTGCAAGAAACATCATGCCAACTGTACCATATGGAGGTGGATCTGTTACGGTCTGGGGATGCTTCTCATTTGATTGTAAGCTTGATTTAGTGACCATACGAGGCAACTTGACAGGGGAGCGCTACATCCAAGAGGTGCTGAATCCAGTTGTGGTGCCCCATTTTGACAATCATCCACTGGCCACCAGACCGATATTCATGGATGACAATGCCAGACCACATCGTTCACGAGCTGTGACCCAGGTTATCCACAACAATGCTCTGACGCAGATTCCATGGCCAGCAATGAGTCCAGATCTGAATCCTCTGGAACATGTATGGGACATTTTGGGACGCCTGATTTATCGTCGGGACCCTCCTCCACAGAACTTGCGTGAATTGGAAGCAGCATTACACGAGGAGTGGCAGCAGCTGCCCATGGAGCGATTCCAACGTCTGGTGAGGAGTATGAGATGAAGACTTCAAGCTGTGATCCAAGTGCTTGGTGGAAGTTCTCGATATTGACTTACTGTGTTCGTCAAATCTCCATATGACATTCTTACCCTATTGGATGAATTTGGTCACTAAAAATTATTGAGATGTCACCATACTTAATGCGCCTCGTTGTTCGTTCATTTTTCGTAAAAGTTCAGCATGAGATTATTACATGCCATAAGGTCATGGAATACCCCATTTAAGTTCATTGTATAGACAATACACTGGTTTGTTGGTATACACGAAATCCTGGTTATAATATTAATTCGGTTATCTTTACACCCTTTCAAAACACCCCTCCATGAAAAAGTATAGGGGGTGCAACACTTTTTTTACTGTGTATATATGTTGATGTGCCAGGTTATTTGTAACCTCTCGTCCCAATATAAATAATTCCAGTATAGATTGCCCCGCTGAGCCAAACCCATTAAAATATATTTCCCTAATGCACGCATCAATTTAAACAGCACTGCTGTTTATCGCACATTTGCACATTGTTTTGATAATGTCAAAGTGATGCAAAATGTGCCCTCCAGCAGCATTTGAAGAATGAGTTAGATATCTCTATTGAACGTAAAATAATCGTGAGCATTTCCTGATTGTGAGTTGTGATCTGAGTGAAGGAAAGCCATAAGTGATGCAGGTTCTTAGACGTTTGCAACTTCAGTGAAACTCACGAGCATGGGTATGGTGCTGAAAAATATAGAAACATAATCGGGGCGAACTGAGATTCGAACCCACAATCATAGGTTTCTGGCGTGCCCAAAGGACGCAACTCTGCACAGGGAATCGCGGAGCCGTAGACGACTGGGCCACCCGTACCGCCTGAACAACTGAGCTATCGTAGACCTGAAATTACGTAATACGATTATCAATATTTTAGTCAACATGCTTGAAATAGATACATTCCTCTATTTTTCAAATGCTGATACAATAAAATACAAAAACAACAAAACAAACGCTTTTGATAAAAGTTAATAGTAGTTTATTTACACACTTGGCAGACGACAAAGATAAAGAAATATGGCTGCCTAATCGGAATTACTGATGCCCATCAAAGTTAATGATATGATCAAAATTGATGGCAGATTAGTAGGAGGAGTGAAAACTGCCCTTCAACCTCTCAGAACATTCAATGTTTACAACGTTCAATAATAAAATGAGCATTTGAAACAGTTTCAGAGACATCGTCTCCTAGTTCTTCCAGAGAGAGTCATCTGCTACCTCTTGAAAGTAAATATACCGCAATCTGTCATCGACGATATTTTGGAAGATGACCTTTTTGAGGATTCTGATCAAGTTAAATGGCAAATAAAACCAAATCTCTAGGGTTTGTTGATGTTCAAGATCACGACATTGTTGGCTTCTTATCTGATCAGGAAACAAATACTGCTCAATAGACGAGGCATAATTACTTAAGTAAGGATAAGATATATTGAACATCTTCTTTATTGCAACACCATTGTCAAGCAACATGTCTCACTACGTGGTGATTTCGGAGAACCTAGCACTATTCCTCCCATTGAACTTTAACAATATTCTGTTCAGGTTTTTCTTCAGTGTGAGGAAGGCAAATAGGGGATAATATGAGTTCAGGGGAACGTTTTCGAGTTTTGACAGGCATTTGAAAAGGCAAAATTATTGCACGTACATGTTCTTGTCAGAGTGTACACACACACGTGATGTTCTAAAATCTAAACATAAATCGTTGATGAAGGAAGGGAAGGATACCTTAACTCAAAGGGCTCATCAGCGACGACGAGGTTGGTAAAGCCGGGGGTTCTGGGGTGGGTGATGAGGGGGAGTGGGGAGGGTACCTGGGAGTACCCAGACAAAAGAAGACGGATACAACAGGGAATACCTTGAATATAATGAGCGTCAAACAAACACACGTACAGGTGAAAATCCAGTTGATGCCCTCGTGTTTGGGCTCATCCGGAATATCTATCACGCTGTCCTGTCAGGATTGACAATTTTTACAAGTAAGCTCTAGCTCGGGAAAACCTGAAACTTAGACCTTCGTGCCGTAAACTTAGTATGACTTGGTCCCTCATATTATACTTTCTATGTATGCATATATCACACACTTAACAGTGTTAACATGATGGTTACTGATGCAGTGTGCAATGTCTCTCTTATCGTCACTATTTATAACAGAGTGTGAACACTTTTCAGTCAACAGCACCTTTGTCACCAGTTATAGTTCAGAGTTGCCCCTACTTACTTCTATATTGCTGGGGAAGGAAAAAAACATATATGTTTCGAAAGTACCTCCCATTTACCACCCCTTTCATGTGTTCACTGCAAGAAAGCAACTTTTTCGGCAGGCGATCCTTGCAAGTATTTAAAGGGGCCTTTTCTGTCTGGAGAAGTGAAATAATATGCCTTTTTAGTTTTAAAACAAGACATAGGATTCCATTTTTTTTGGTTTAGCAGTATAGATTTGATAAAGTTCAATATTGTTTGCTGTGTCGAGTTCATGGTGAGTAAATGATTTAATAACACTATCACTGCCAGAAACTTAACTTGAATTATGAATCTTATGGCACAATGACACTCTTTAAAAAACAAAACAAAATGCAATGTCATAAGATCCACATAACTTGTCATTCAAATCAGTAACTTGGTTTACATACATATGTTGATTAATTGATTTATTAACAAATCACATTTGTGGTAACAGGAGACAGATGAGATGAGGTGAGGTGCAATTGGGTTTAAGGTCGCGTCCAGTATTATTGCACTTACATTTCAATGTGCATGCACGTGCGTGCGTGCGTGCGTGCGTGCGTGCGTGCGTGCGTGTCACAGTAACTTGACACGGTAAGCTGACCCTGAGCCAACCACGACTTGTTTTTGCTCCTTTAGGCTGAGCCCATTTTTTAACGTTTTACTATATGATGCGGCAGGGATCGAACCCCGGACCTCATGCCCTCTGGACAGACGCTCTCCCACTGGACCACCACGGAGGTCGTTGGTACCAGGAGACAGTGGAACATGTTCTTTAAGGGGAATGGTCTTAAAACTCAATAAAAATTGTCAATATTGGGTTTGACCAAAATTCGCGATGATTCAGAAGAGGAAGCTGTGTAGCAATGAAGAATTCAGATGATTGAAAACAGCCCTGGGGATGTTGTTCCAAATGTGAACCAAAAATTTGGCTCAGATCAGCTAGAGTTGCCATAGTCCTGGTGTAGGCAGCTTTCCGTCCCATCCCAGATATTTCCTATGGGGGAGTGGTCTGGAGAAACTGCGGATCATGGTACAGCAAGGTAATACTGCCCCAAAAGGTCAACAGAAGCAAGGTGCGCGCTTGCTTTATTCTGCTGTGCACATAGTGACGTCATGTACCTTCATTTTCACAAAGGGGAGAACATGTGCTCGAACGAGGTCGCCGCGGAAGTGCATGTCATTCAAATTGCCATTAAGTTGTGTCCTCCCATGACTTGTGATGCCACTCCATAACATGACACTTCAACCCCTAAACTAACGACGTTGGGCAACACTGGTGGTGATGTGGCAGCAAAACAGGGCGTTTCACTTGATGTGTGGTTCTGATGGTTCTCTCCCTCAACCGTAAAATTATGTCACGTAATGCATTTGCGTAATACTATGTCCCTAATTGATATCAAGGTATTGTCAGAACAGTTAATAGTATCGAAATAGGATTTTCTTGTTTACCTGTGACAAGTCACTAGTGTTGCCTTGCTGTAGTGAACTTCTCCAAAGAGATATGAAAAGAGCGTTATCTACGGTCAAATACCTGATAACTAAACAATCGGTGTGTGTTGTTCATTTCAACAAAACATTTATGCAAGTATCATGCTACTAACAAACACACAAACATCCAGTTAGCGTGTTGCGCATTAACATGCACATACACTTTGTGAATCACACCCTTTAAGTCGAGAAGTCTTAAAACAAATTGTTTCGAAAGACGCATTATTCAATTTCCGAACAAATATATATTATTGCTGAATTGTATATGAAGCACAGTTATATTTTCCGCTAGTATTTATATAACATTGACATATATTTGAAAAAATAGAAAATAAGGTTATGTACAGTCCTAAGGTTTCATTTTCATATATTCTAACATCATTAACAGCGCAAGTCATGCGGCATACACAATGAAAACATTACTAGCATGTCTGTCGATATGTGAACAACTGAATACACCATGAATGAAGACACAATGCAGATTGAATGTCCATACATGATTTTCATTTCAAAGAACGTCCTTCTATTCTCGTGTTATTTCTCAAACTGTTTAAAAAGTTCTCGCCGCCCCAGAGAGATCAGACTGGGATCTACCTTGTGAAACATCAGGAGTCGGAAGACATCATCATGTCCACATACAGCCGTTACCGTCACAGAAGGGATGGGCGATTCACACGTTGCCTACACAACAAGCCAGAGGTTGGAATGTTTCTGCAGATTAATCTGTTTGTTTCAAATCAAAATCATTGCTGTTTTCAGTGGGGGAGCTTGGACTCTCATTTGTGACTTCTGAGCTTATTCCAGAATGTAACTGCACGTTCTTCTTAGATGGAATAAACAGTTTGCCAACCTTCGTATCTTTCAGTGCAGACAATCGTTTAACCTTCTTGGCTGGTTGTAGTTGTTCTATGATTTGTCTGCATCCTGCTTCACGAGCGAGCTTCAACATGTCATTCCCTGAGTTGTCAACTAACGTCAAGTCTATGCCTCTCCTTCTAAGATATTCGAACACAGCAACTTTGCCAGATACTACTGACATCATCACAGGTGTCAAGCCAGCCTCGTCTCTAGCATTGATGTCAAAAGAGTCTATGATGTATTTCACCATACGAAGCTGACCATGCTGAGTAGCAAGATGTAGAAGAGTGTGTCCACCCTTGTCCACAAGAGTATGGTCAGCTTTATGAGATACCAGGAACTTGTACACAGCAATGTGGCCTCCACTAACTGCCCTCATTAGAGGAGTCTCATCATTTCTGCCTCTGGCGTTGATGTCAAATTTACCAATCAGGGCCTTGACAATGGTTACACTACCACCTTGACAGGCTGCGTGAAGAACAGTATCAGTCTCAGGGGAAGTCAGTGATGGATTACCCCCTCGTGTTGCAATCAGATCATAAGCATCCTTTTTTCCACTGAGAGCTGCCATCATTATTGGCGTCCATCCATCTTCTCTCGGAGTGTTAATGTCAAACATGGGCAAGAGATGTTTTATGATGAAGCTATTTCCACCCTGACATGCAAGATGCAGTAGATTGTTTCCTGAGAGATCAGACAGTTTCATCTGAGCTTTTCTTGACACAAGCAGATTAAACACATTCCCCTGCCCAGCCCTAGCTGCATACATTACTGGTGTCAAGCCATTCTGTCCCTTGATATCCTTGTTAAATATATTAAGAAGATGTTCTACAATAGTTGTGTTCCCACTCTGACATGACAAATGAAGCGCATTGTCTTGGCTGTTATCAGTTACTTTCAGATCAGCATGGTGTGTCACAAGCAGATCAAATACTCTCATTTTGCCTGCCAAAGCTGCCTTCATTATGGCTGTTCTCCCATGATTTCCCAGTCTATTGATCTTCTTTGGCAGAAGACATTCCACAATGGAACTTCTTCCACCTTGACATGCTAAATGAAAAACAGAATCATTGTGGTTATCATTCACTGTTTTATCAGCGTCTCGTGACAACAGCAGGTTAAACACATTATCTGTTCCATAAACAACTGCATTCATCAATGGTGTCCGTCCATCTTGTCCTGGAATGTTGATATCAAACTTAGGCAGAAGAGAGTCTACGATGGAGCGATTTCCACCCTGACATGCAAGGTGAAGTGCATTGTTACCGTAATCATCAATCAGGGTGAGATCCGCTTTTCTTGACACAAGTAAGTTGAACACATCCTTCTGCCCAGCGTTCGCTGCATGCAATACTGGTGTCCAGTCGTCCTTTCCACGAAGATCGATATCAATTATTGTCAACAGATGTTCTACAATAGCTGTTTTTCCTCCCTGGCATGCCATATGTAGAACATTGTCTTTGTAGTCATCGGTCAATGTGAGATCAGCTTCCTGACTCACAAGCAAATCAAACACATCCTTCCTTCCCGTCCATGTTGCATTCATGACTGGTGTTCGGCCATGTCTTCCAGAAGTATTTATGTCATATTTTGTCAACAGATATTTCACAATGGAGTAGTTCCCCCCTTGACACGCAAGGTGTAAGAGAGTGTCATTATGATCATCAATCAATGTCATATTGGCCTTCTTTGACAACAGTAGTCTGAAAAGAGTTGGTTTAGCAAGCAAAGTTGCAATCATTAGTGCTGTTCTCCCATGGTTTCCCCGACAGTCGATAGCAGTACTTGGCAATAGATATTTCACAATGGAAATATTTCCACCTATAGATGCTAAATGGAATACAGAATTGTTGTAGCCATCCCTCAGTGTTATATCAGCCCCCTGTGACACAAGCAGGTTGAAAACACTCTCTTCTCCACTTGCAGCTGCAAACATCACTGGCGTCCAACCGTTGTTTCCCCGACTGTTGATCTCAAACTTTCGCAATAATATTTCCACAATAGAGACATTTCCTCCATGACATGCAAGATGGAGAAGATTGTTGTTGGTGTCATCATTCAGTTTCAGGTTAGCCTTCATTTTTAGCAGGATATTGAATGCATCCATTTTTCCATTTATTGCTGCCGTCATCACTGCTGTCCAGCCGTGTTTTCCGCGAGTATTAATGTCAAACTGTGGTACGATTTGCACTAACATGGATACATCATCAACGTGGGAAGCTGTATGAAGGAGATTGTTGTTGTCAGCGTCAGTCAATGTAATGTCAGCCTTTTTTAACACAAGAAGGTCGAAGGTTTCCTTCCTTCCAGATAACAGTGCAGACATAACTGGCGTTTGTCCATTGCTGCCACGTGTATTTATCTCTGTGTTTGGGAGAAGACTTTCTACAGTGGACTTATTTCCATACCGACTTGCAAGATGAAGTGCTGTGTTGTTGTTGCTATCTCTTAATGTTAAATCAACTTTCTTTTTGCAGAGATAGTCTAAAACATCATACGTGCCAAACAGCACAGCACACATTACTGGTGTCAAGTCATGTATTCCTCGACTGTTGAGATTCAAATCAGAATTCAGTTTCTTAAACTCTCTTTTCACATGTTTTACTGTGGACACATCTCCATGTTGACAGGTCAAATGTAATAAATTGTTCTTGTTGCTGTCACATAAAGTGATGTCAGCTTTGTGTTTCACAAGGAAGTCAAAACATTCCATCTGTCCAGAAACAACTGTATACATCACTGGTGTCCAGCCATTCAACCCACGCCTATTGATTTCACAGTGAGGAAGAAGTCGCTGCAGGATATTCTTGTTCCCAGTGACACAGGCGTAATGGAGAATGTTGTGCTTGGCTTCATAAGACAGGGAAAAAACATTTTCAGTCATTTGAGATAAATAGGCAGCTATTTCCTCTCTTTTCACTATGGAATACATGATGTATTTACTTGGAGCACCGTAGACAAGTGAATCAGCCAGTCTGGCAACAATTATTTCCTTATAGGTCCCTGATAAATAAATGGTGAGCTGGTGTGCACTAACAGGAATAACTTTGGCTTGCTCGTCCTGTACATGCTCAAACAGGAACTTAATACTGCAATGTTTTAGAATTAACTCTGGTTCAATATTGAATACAATAGAAGCACAAACATCGTACATCACAGAATGAGAAAATGTTGTTATGTTTCCTTCTGTCAACAATGTACCACAGAAGCCCCGGACAGCTTTAGTGACACCCTGTCTGGTTGATGTCTTCACAAGAGTTGCAACTGCCTTGAGGTGAGCCTCTAGGTCTGGGCTAGCACCTTCACTCTCCAGTTGACTGATGTTTAGCTGCCCATCAGAAAGTAAGACCAGGATGAGGGCAGCTGACTTGTCATCCAATGAGCTGACAAGCGTTTGAAGTTGATTTTTTACGTAAAATATAGGTTTCTCGAAAAAGGCTTCAGGATGCATTTGAAAAGTATCACAACTTGAGAACAGTTTGCATACGAGAGGAAACCTGACAGTTGTTCCTTCAAAGGCAATAAGTTTGTTCAACTCATTTTGTTTACTACATTGTGTGTGACTTGTGTGATTTAGCCACATTTTTTTCTTCTCCTCACGTGTAATCTGACAACCTAGTGTGACATCTGTTAAACTTCTGAAAATCAGATGGCTCTCCAACTTCGATATTGCAAACTGAAGAATACCTGCTTCTACAGTGAATATAACACAAATGTTTGTTTGTTTGATCTTGCTTGGTTCTTGTTGCAGACGCAAGTATCTTCCCTCGGACCTTCCCTCACACTGATCCAGATGCACATGCAGGTCATATAAAAAATGCATAAGACCGGACAGATCCATATTTGATCTGACTGTCTTCAATACGTCATCCAATATAACACACACGTCTTTGCCTTTATCTATAAAATCAGACAACTGTACTTTATCTACATCCTCAAGCAGTACCAGCTCATACCCCTGCTTCCTGTATTCAGCTCCCAGCATCAGGGCCATGGATGTTTTACCTTCTCCTGGAGAGCCACTTATTGTCACATGGCCAAACGTCTTCAGCTTCTCTTTCATCTGCTTAAAGCTCTCAGTTTTAACAAACACCTTTCGGACATCCTTTAGCCTCTGTTCTAGTGAACCTGTCAAAATTGATAAAAAAATTAGACAATTGAAGCAAAGTGTGAAATCCAGAATCCCCAGTTCAGTTTCTGCTATCCGAGTTTGATATACACTTCTTGTACATTTACATTAAGAGGGCCATCTCAATAAATACTTTACTTTTAATCTGTTGTCATGATTATATATTTACACCCATATCATACCTATACAATTAAATTCTCGATGTGTCCATTGACATTCCTGCATTCTGATTAGCTGAATTGGTCACGTGTTATTGCATTTACTTCCCAATGAATGTAAAAAATCAAGCCACGCCCACCTAGACGCACTTCTTTTATTACTGCGGAATGTCGGGGATTCCCAATATTACACTCGAGGGAATTGCCTTTCTGCTCACGTGTATCGACATGCAGAGGACATTTAGCGACTTTCATGAATATTCATTGTCTGAACTACCCTTTGAAACCGAAAGGCCGAGAATGAATGAAACAACAAGCGTGCAGGCTCGCTCGCCTGTTTTTTCCCCGCACGCCTCGGTTCAACTTTCATGTCTTCGGGTTTCATTTCTAACTCGCATATTTCCAACTATGTTTAACCGTAATCAGGGAAGTAATGTTTAAATTTGGCGGCGACTGACCATGTTATTTGAAACAGCCACCTTCTCCCGGACATATAAATTTCTTCCGGTTCGTTACAGTCTGACTGTTGCCGTTGTTTTCGCCTCCTGACGTAATTGACAGGTCCAATGAACATTGTTTTGATCCTACGCTACGTTGATTGGCTACTGACTGTAGGCGTGTCAAGTTACGTGTATAAATTAAACGATCACCTGATTCATGTCACGCCACAGTATGTATTCCTACACCTGGAATGTTTATCAATCTCTTCATTTTTGTCTGTTTTGATATATACAACTGTTTTTGGTTAAACTATTGTTAATAAAACATGTTTTACGCTGTCAAAGTTAATTATAAGAATTGACTGTGTATTTGATTATGTTCATTGAGGTATGAATCGATAAACCGATGTGCAAACAGTTTGCACATCAGTTTTTCGATTCATACCTCAATGAACAGAACAAAATACACAGTCAATCCTTAAATAAACATCAGTTACACGTAATCAAAGACATTTATTCACCTGATGCGGTACATGTGCCTGCACAGGACGAACCTGAACAATACTCCTCATGGTAATTACTATATGCCGATGAACGTATTCTGTTCTTACCAAACGGCAAGGCTTCATCTTCCACGAGATCAAAACTGCAGGTAGATTCAGCGTCTCCATCCGATGCTGGTGAGAAAATTCAACTCAATAATTGCATAATGTATAATGTTTGCAAATTATCAACTGAAACCTCACTGCATGATGAAATGGTGTTGGCGAAATTGGAAAAGTTGTTCATAACAACAGTAATGTTTCTTTTCCCTTTTATCACTATACATAATGCAATGACTTATATGCGATGATAATATTAATTCGTTAACATATCGTAAGGTACCAATTACTGTTGGTCCGTATATTCGACTAACAGTCATATATTATGAAAATTATCCTCTACACATATTCCACTCAAAAGGAAGGGGTAATTGCATCACCAGTGAACATATTCATTATTAATACACAAGACACTTGACCAACAAAATAAAATTACCACATCTACCATGATATAATGTGAAGTTTACACGAAAGACGGACATATTAAAACAATTGGCATTCACTTCGTATCAGCCCACGTGACAACATTCTTTCATCAACACTTTATATATTACATGTATCCCATACTTACTGGCTCCACCCTCCTCTGCCATGAGAAGTTCTAAAACATTAGATGTGATGGTTAGATGAAGCATGTGTAACCCCGTCTGGGTTGTCTAAGCTCCATTTCAATATCTAAAGTACAAGTAATGGAAAGCAAACATGCTAAACACTAGCTTAACCATGTTTAAGGGAAATATATACCAAGCTTGTATTGCTGAATAACGCGTAGATCATATATCAATATATATATATAATACACACGACAATGTCTCTGTCCACGTCTGTAGTGTCGGAAGCCCATAACTAGGAAACAGTTTCTGTTTCTCGAGATTTACAATCTGCTGTTTCTTTCAAACAACGCTTGTGTTAGCAGACAATTTATCTGGAAATGCTGAATATATATATATTCCCTGTCTGTGATGAAGTTTAATGAGCCCAACAAACATAATGGTGATTTAATTTCTTCTATCACAATTACTTTTAATGTTTGTAAAAACAATATCGCGTTTATACAAACAACCAAGGATAATTAACTGTCATTTTTTGTAGAATTAATGAGTAACGTTGTGTATACTCACCATTTTCACCAGCACTGGATCTGAAATAAAAAATCGAGATCATGACAAATGTATGAATCAGCATGTCCAAATTGATAGTTTTAGAAATCAGGGAATTTCATATGTGTACTTCGCTGTGTTTTGATATATAATCTACTGTACATAGACGTAAGTGATTGGGATGAAGAAGACGTCCTGCCTGAGGTTATATTTCAGTATTACCCGGCAGCCGTACCAGCTGTAGCAGTTGTCCTCCAGCATGGAAGTACCCCTGTCACTGCATCGTGTTATATGTCTGTATTACCTGGCAGTTGTTCTCCAGCATGGAAGTATCCCTGTCACTGCATCGTGTTATATGTCTATATTACCTGGCAGTTGTTCTCCAGCATGGAAGTATCCCTGTCACTGCATCGTGTTATATGTCTGTATTACCTGGCAGTTGTTCTCCAGCATGGAAGTATCTCTGTCACTGCATCGTGTTATATGTCTGTATTTCCTGGCAGTTGTTCTCCAGCATGGAAGTATCCCTGTCACTGCATCGTGTTGTATGTCTGTATTACCTGGCAGTTGTTCTCCAGCATGGAAGTATCCCTGTCACTGCATCGTGTTATATGTCTGTATTACCTGGCAGTTGTACTAGCTGTATCAGTTGTGCTCCAGCATGGAAGTATCCCTGTCACTGCACCGTGTTATATGTCTGTATTACCTGGCAGTTGTTCTCCAGCATGGAAGTATCCCTGTCACTGCATCGTGTTATATGTCTGTATTACCTGGCAGTTGTTCTCCAGCATGGAAGTATCCCTGTCACTGCATCGTGTTATATGTCTGTATTACCTGGCAGTTGTTCTCCAGCATGGAAGTATCCCTGTCACTGCATCGTGTTATATGTCTGTATTACCTGGCAGTTGTTCTCCAGCATGGAAGTATCCCTGTCACTGCATCGTGTTATATGTCTGTATTACCTGGCAGTTGTTCTCCAGCATGGAAGTATCCCTGTCACTGCATCGTGTTATATGTCTGTATTACCTGGCAGTTGTTCTCCAGCATGGAAGTATCCCTGTCACTGCATCGTGTTATATGTCTGCATTACCTGGCAGTTGTTCTCCAGCATGGAAGTATCCCTGTCACTGCATCGTGTTATATGTCTGCATTACCTGGCAGTTGTTCTCCAGCATGGAAGTATCCCTGTCACTGCATCGTGTTATATGTCTGCATTACCTGGCAGTTGTTCTCCAGCATGGAAGTATCCCTGTCACTGCATCGTGTTATATGTCTGCATTACCTGGCAGTTGTTCTCCAGCATGGAAGTATCCCTGTCACTGCATCGTGTTATATGTCTGCATTACCTGGCAGTTGTTCTCCAGCATGGAAGTACCCCTGTCACTGCATCGTGTTATATGTCTCTATTGCCTGGCAGCTGTACCAGCTGTATCAGTTGTTCTCCAGCATGGAAGTATCCCTGTCACTGCATCGCGTTATATGTCTGTATTACCTGGCAGTTGTTCTCCAGCATGGAAGTACCCCTGTCACTGCATCGTGTTATATGTCTGTATTACCTGGCAGTTGTTCTCCAGCATGGAAGTACCCCTGTCACTGCATCGTGTTATATGTCTGTATTACCTGGCAGTTGTTCTCCAGCATGGAAGTACCCCTGTCACTGCATCGTGTTATATGTCTGTATTACCTGGCAGCTGTATCAGTTGTTCTCCAGCATGGAAGTATCCCTGTCACTGCATCGTGTTATATGTCTGTATTACCTGGCAGTTGTTCTCCAGCATGGAAGTATCCCTGTCACTGCATCGTGTTATATGTCTGTATTACCTGGCAGTTGTTCTCCAGCATGGAAGTACCCCTGTCACTGCATCGTGTTATATGTCTGTATTACCTGGCAGCTGTATCAGTTGTTCTCCAGCATGGAAGTATCCCTGTCACTGCATCGTGTTATATGTCTGTATTACCTGGCAGTTGTTCTCCAGCATGGAAGTATCCCTGTCACTGCATCGTGTTATATGTCTGTATTACCTGGCAGTTGTTCTCCAGCATGGAAGTATCCCTGTCACTGCATCGTGTTATATGTCTGTATTACCTGGCAGTTGTTCTCCAGCATGGAAGTATCCCTGTCACTGCATCGTGTTATATGTCTGTATCAGCTGTATCAGTTGTTCTCCAGCATGGAAGTACCCCTGTCACTGCATCGTGTTATATGTCTGTATTACCTGGCAGTTGTTCTCCAGCATGGAAGTACCCCTGTCACTGCATCGTGTTATATGTCTGTATTACCTGGTATTTGTTCTCCAGCATGGAAGTATCCCTGTCACTGCATCGTGTTATATGTCTGTATTACCTGGCAGTTGTTCTCCTGCATGGAAGTATCCCTGTCACTGCATCGTGTTATATGTCTGTATTACCTGGCAGTTGTTCTCCAGCATGGAAGTATCCCTGTCACTGCATCGTGTTATATGTCTGTATTACCTGGCAGTTGTTCTCCAGCATGGAAGTACCCCTGTCACTGCATCGTGTTATATGTCTGTATTACATGGCAGTTGTTCTCCAGCATGGAAGTATCCCTGTCACTGCATCGTGTTATGTGTCTGTATTACCTGGCAGTTGTTCCCCAGCATGGAAGTACCCCTGTCACTGCATCGTGTTATATGTCTGTATTACCTGGCAGCTGTACCAGCTGTATCAGTTGTTCTCCAGCATGGAAGTACCCCTGTCACTGCATCGTGTTATATGTCTGTATTACCTGGCAGATGTTCTCCTGCATGGAAGTATCCCTGTCACTGCATCGTGTTATATGTCTGTATAACCTGGCACTTGTTCTCCAGCATGGACGTACCCCTGTCACTGCATCGTGTTATATGTCTGTATTACCTGGCAGTTGTTCTCCAGCATGGAAGTATCCATGTCACTGCATCGTGTTATATGTCTGTATTACCTGGCAGTTGCTCTCCAGCATGGAAGTACCCCTGTCACTGCATCGTGTTATATGTCTGTATTACCTGGCAGTTGTTCTCCAGCATGGAAGTATCCCTGTCACTGCATCGTGTTATATATCTGTATTACCTGACAGTTGTTCTCCAGCATGGAAGTATCCCTGTCACTGCATCGTGTTATATGTCTGTATTACCTGGCAGTTGTTCTCCAGCATGGAAGTATCCCTGTCACTGCATCGTGTTATATGTCTGTATCAGCTGTATCAGTTGTTCTCCAGCATGGAAGTACCCCTGTCACTGCATCGTGTTATATGTCTGTATTTACCTGGCAGTTGTTCTCCAGCATGGAAGTACCCCTGTCACTGCATCGTGTTATATGTCTGTATTACCTGGCAGATGTTCTCCAGCATGGAAGTATCCCTGTCACTGCATCGTGTTACATGTCTGCATTACCTGGCAGATGTTCTCCAGCATGGAAGTATCCCTGTCACTGCATCGTGTTATATGTCTGTATTACCTGGCATTTGTTCTCCAGCATGGAAGTACCCCTGTCACTGCATCGTGTTATATGTCTGTATTACCTGGCAGTTGTTCTCCAGCATGGAAGTATCCCTGTCACTGCATCGTGTTATGTGTCTGTATTACCTGGCATTTGTTCTCCAGCATGGAAGTATCCCTGTCACTGCATCGTGTTATATGTCTGTATTACCTGGCAGTTGTTCTCCTGCATGGAAGTATCCCTGTCACTGCATCGTGTTATATGTCTGTATTACTTGGCAGTTGTTCTCCAGCATGGAAGTATCCCCGTCACTGCATCGTGTTATATGTCTGTATTACATGGCAGTTGTTCTCCAGCATGGAAGTATCCCTGTCACTGCATCGTGTTATATGTCTGTATTACCTGGCAATTGTTCTCCAGCATGGAAGTATCCATGTCACTGCATCGTGTTATATGTCTGTATTACCCGGCAGTTGTTCTCCAGCATGGAAGTATCCCTGTCACTGCATCGTGTTATATGTCTGTATTACCTGGCAGTTGTTCTCCAGCATGGAAGTATCCCTGTCACTGCATCGTGTTATATGTCTGTATCAGCTGTATCAGTTGTTCTCCAGCATGGAAGTACCCCTGTTACTGCATCGTGTTATATGTCTGTATTACCTGGCAGTTGTTCTCCAGCATGGAAGTACCCCTGTCACTGCATCGTGTTATATGTCTGTATTACCTGGCAGTTATTCTCCAGCATGGAAGTACCCCTGTCACTGCATCGTGTTATATGTCTGTATTACCTGGTATTTGTTCTCCAGCATGGAAGTATCCCTGTCACTGCATCGTGTTATATGTCTGTATTACCTGGCAGTTGTTCTCCAGCATGGAAGTACCCCTGTCACTGCATCGTGTTATATGTCTGTATTACATGGCAGTTGTTCTCCAGCATGGAAGTATCCCTGTCACTGCATCGTGTTATGTGTCTGTATTACCTGGCAGTTGTTCCCCAGCATGGAAGTACCCCTGTCACTGCATCGTGTTATATGTCTGTATTACCTGGCAGCTGTACCAGCTGTATCAGTTGTTCTCCAGCATGGAAGTACCCCTGTCACTGCATCGTGTTATATGTCTGTATTACCTGGCAGATGTTCTCCTGCATGGAAGTATCCCTGTCACTGCATCGTGTTATATGTCTGTATTACCTGGCAGTTGTTCTCCAGCATGGAAGTATCCATGTCACTGCATCGTGTTATATGTCTGTATTACATGGCAGTTGTTCTCCAGCATGGAAGTATCCATGTCACTGCATCGTGTTATATGTCTGTATTACCTGGCAGTTGCTCTCCAGCATGGAAGTACCCCTGTCACTGCATCGTGTTATATGTCTGTATTACCTGGCAGTTGTTCTCCAGCATGGAAGTATCCCTGTCACTGCATCGTGTTATATATCTGTATTACCTGGCAGTTGTTCTCCAGCATGGAAGTATCCCTGTCACTGCATCGTGTTATATATCTGTATTACCTGGCAGTTGTTCTCCAGCATGGAAGTATCCCTGTCACTGCATCGTGTTATATGTCTGTATTACCTGGCAGCTGTACCAGCTGTATCAGTTGTCCT